TGTTACTTTGTGTGTGTGTGTGTGTGTGTGTGTGTGTGTGTGTGTGTGTGTGTGTGTGTGTGTGTGTGTGTGTTTGTGTTTTAGATTTTCCCCACAGCAGCCCCAATTCCACCCAGGTGAATAGATTCAGAATCAAAGCAGTCTTTGTCCTATTGCAGACAACCAGAGCATTTGAGATGTCCAACATATTAAATCAATTTTATAATTAGACAGTTTTTTGGTTGTCCTTGGGGTACCCCTTTCATTGTTCTTGCAGCTCCCCTTTTACTGTGTCTCTTACACACAAGGCTGCCCATGTTGATTGTGGTTGAGCGGCAGCTGCCCACATCCCCGTGTGCCTTCAGGCCCACTTGCACGTTATTTCAGGAGGCAGAGTAAAAGGGAAGGTATGCTCCTGTGCATCTCTTCAGAGCTTCATACTCCTGTTCGTTTCACTTCAGATCTTCAGCTTATACAGTCTTTGTGTCCGTCCTTCATCTTCATGCTTCCGTTCATTTCATTTCTGATCTCCATATCGTCTATACTCTCAATGATGCTCATTCGTATGTACTATGTATTTGTTAGTAGTACAAGGGGAGTGGAGGGGAAGGTGGAGGGTAAGTGGTAGAAGGCGGAGTTCTCTAGGAGTATGGGGCAGGAGAGGTAGGTGTATGACGGGTTTCACAGATTTGTAAATATTCACCGCTGAAGCAGACTTCTAAAAAAAAAAAAAAAAAAAAAAAACCTATGGCGAGTGGCCACCCCTACAGACCGGACAGGACTGGTTCGGGTGTGGACTAGTGTGTGTCTGTGTGTGTGTGTGTTTTGAGGGTGTGTGCATGCAGGCACGCCTAGGCACGTACGCTATGCTAGGCAAATTCTCCAATGCTGAAAAGCGTCGGCACACCGTGGTTACTCATAGCAGGCGTAGTGTACCCTACCAATGACGCAACTCGTGCAAACTCGACAGGGCGTGGCGAAAACGTCTAGTGTGCATAGTGGTTACTTGTAGGCGTGGGACAGATGCATCCATCTGCGGAAGGTGGGAAAAAAACATGCCGGAGCATAATTGCCTCAAATACAGCTGCGATATGACCCAGTACGCACACAACAGTACATCACAAACAAACACAGAAACGGGGGCAAAGGTATGACAACAAAGCCGAGAGGCAGGGAGGTAATGTACTGTTGGATGACAAGGCACAGCAGGGCACATAGACTGGAGGGCACACGGGAGAAGCAAGCAACTTGCGACAACACATAGGTTGGAGGGCACGGGGGAGGCGGGAGGGCACACGGGAGAAGCAAGCAACTTGCGACAACACATAGGTTGGAGGGCACGGGGGAGGCGGGAGGGCAGACAACACACGAGCACA